GTTGATACAAATCACGAAGGAGTCGACTCCCACGTGCTATGTCTCGACTCCCACTGAAGAATATTTCTAATAAAAAATTATCCACATGGAGTCGACTCCCAAGAAGTATGGGTTAACTCCCTTTCCCTTGTGAGTCGACTCCTACCTCGAATGGTTCGACTCCCACTATTTTAAAATGTCCAAATGTGTAATTTTGCTAACCTAATTTTTCTATTTTCTCTTTTACACACACACACACACACACACACACACACACACACACACACACACACACACACACACACACACACACACACACACACACACACACACACACACACACACACACACACACACACACACACACACACACACACACACACACACACACACACACACACACACACACACACACACACACACACACACACACACACACACACACACACACACACACACACACACACACACACACACACACACACACACACACACACACACACACACACACACACACACACACACACACACACACACACACACACACACACACATATATATATATATATATATATATATATATATATATATATATATATATATATATATATATATCATTCATGCATCATTTCTAAATAATTAAAACCAAAAATATACAAAGTCTTTTCATCATCTTCGTCCTCTCTCATTGCATACATACAATAACTACACATAATCATTTTTGTTGTGTGATCTTGAGATAGTTTGATAAGGTCCAACTCAGGATTGGTGTAATCAAATTAGGTTGAGAATTATTTGGGGGTTTCAAGATAAATCCATTTGGGGTTTTCTTTCAATATCAATGACTGATTTGGGAGTTTATTTTACAAGATTACATAATTTATATTCAGCCGAGTGAAAGCTTTGAAGAACCGCGGTTCTGTCAAAGGAGTAACGGTAACTGGAGGACCACTTCGGTAATCTCGGGTCACAATATGTTTACAATTTGGATTCAACCTAGTGAAAGCTTTGAAAAATGGGGGTTCTATCAAATTTGAGTAATGGTAACTGGAGGATCAAATTGCAAGTATTGGGTTACTTGATCGAGTTCTGATCAAGGGGAGAGAAGAAGATATGATCAATGCTAAAATTAGGGTTTAGAGGTTTTGATTGCTACTTTTTCTCTTGTAAACTACATTTGCAAAGGTTAATTTTCATTATCTCAATTTCATTAGAATTAGGGGCATACATACCCATAGCGAGGCCGATTGAGGAATTTCCTAAACAAATCCTTGTGTGTGTCTCTCTCTATCTCTCTTTTACATTTACTTGCAAACTGTGAAATAATTGATTGTGCAATCGATACATAGAGATAATTTCTTTTCCTAATACTTCAAACTGTTTTTTTAAGTTAATTGTAATCTATGTGATTGTAATTGGTTTCTCACATCAACAAAATCAGAGAAAAATATGGTTTGTGTTGATTGCACACCAAGTGTTTAAAAATTGTTTAAGTTAAGTTTTATTTGATATTACATTGGAAATTGATTACTATTGTGTGGTTTTATTCAAACGTTGTTGTTGAAAATATATTAATTAATTTTCTCATCAAATGAATATGTTATATATGGTTTAACGCATATCTTATCTTTTCGATAATGGTTCGGGATAGACAATTGTCAATCCGAGATTTTTTCCGCGTGCCATAGTTAAGCATTTTCTAAAACATATTTTTAAATAAGAAAATTTCATTTGCGATCTATTCACCCCCTCTAGGTCATAGCCTACCGTCTAACAAAACACTCGTAAAAAGGAAAGGAACATGCTTCAAAGGTTCAACATTACCTTTTTCCCAAATCCATCGGAAGGACCGACCAATCAGAGGGATGACATGCCATGATTTAAGTCACACTCATGGTCATAGGGTGACTTTAAATGGAGAGGGTTCCCACAATCTCTGAATCCACCTAGCTATAGTTGTTTCCGTCAGTCGGTTCCACCAACGTAGCATTTTTCAAGGATAACTCATCAGCCTTAACGATTTTGAAGGGTTTAAGCTAACTAACACCATCTGGTCGAGATCCAGGTTCCAGATGACCCTAGATGTCATCATCACTAGGGTCTTGACCATATACCTTTTTGTAAGCATTAACATCATCTTTGACATCCTCTCTCTTCATAATGGCAACCTCTATTTCTAGAGTCAGCAGAGCAAGCAAAGTCAAAGTTCCTACTACTTGGGAGGAAGTGGGAACAAAAGTGATTGCGATACCATTTTCTCCAACTTCATCAGAGAAAAGATCTTTGAGAGAATAATCCTTGGAAGAAGCTCATTTGTCCAAATAACCTCTAGAGAGCTTCTCTAAGTCTGAATCGTCAATTATCGATTAGTCATTAAGCAAGAACGATTTAGACTAGAATATACTATTACCCTAACTAAGGGAGAGGAATCATCACTCCCAGAATGGCTATACAAACTAATGGGACTTTCGTTCATATTGGCCATGGTAAAGAAAATGCTTATATGGGTTTTTGGTTTTAGGAGGCCATGATGATACTTATGGCGATTGAAGGAGAGCTAACAAAAAGCATGCTAGAAGAGATGACATTTTTAAGATGCGAGAAAAGTGAGAGGAGCCAATCGATTGACTGATTAAAAATCGAATCAATTTTTTTCCTGATTGAGTGTGTCAATTGATTCACTAAATACTCCAATCAATTGGTTTATCAAATCTTTCTGGATTTTGAGCTTTCATCATTAATGTTGAGATTTGATTGCCTTGGGTCACACATTAGTTTTGGATTTGATATGAAAATATGCGCGCCAAGCTCTTCCAATCGATTACCACAATATTCCAATCGATTGGGCTTAAGTTGATCAATCTCCTTGGTGCATTTTTTTGCTAAATTTATTACTTTTTTGCACCATTATTCAGCCTTATTTGCACCTCATTTCTATAGAACACTTAAAATACAATTTTAATTAGTAAATATAAGTTATTTAAATGAACATAAATTTAAACCACTATTTTAAGGATTAATCAAAGTTTTCTGATTATTTCAACCTTAAAATAATGTACTACCTCAAAAATCAAGAAACTTTGATAAAACTTCTCTTTAAAGGGAACACCAATCATATTATGGTAGGTTCTCCTCTACATACGTTAGATGCAAGAGTTGGTATAAAATAATAAGATGAATAAGTCAATTACATACATATCCACTCAACCTACTATGGCAGAGAAAAATCAGTTTGATGTAGAGTTTTCTACTATGGATACTAGTAATAGTGAAAGAACAATTATAAAGGCCTCTGATTATCATTTAACTTGTGATAAGGTAAGAAGGGAAATTGTAGCATCTCAAAGAGACTACTATGCCAGTCTTGAGTGTTATGCTTTGAATTTGATTGAAGGCTAGGTTGCAAAATTCAAAAACATGGATCTTCAGAGAGACATTCGAAAGTAGGTGGAGTCAATGATTGTTGAAATACCATTTATGTGAGCTTGTTAGATTACCTAGGCAGAAAAATATGATTGTAAACAAGTGGATGCAAGTGGCAAGATCAAAGTTTAAGAGTGGTTGAACTTGATCAAGATTGTTGAATAGTATTTTAATATGATAGAGAACATCAAGTGGTTGATGGTTAAATTAGTATCATCATGATTTTAAGTCAATGTGGAAATTATAGAAGTATGCCTTAAAACCTTTGAGTGATGAAAATAAAGAAAATAGGTTTCGAGATTGATAAAAATCAGGAAGCCAAAAAGACGCAAGAATGTCAGGTTCGAGCGATTTACGTGTATTAGGTTTGATCGGTTCGATTCATGGATCCGTTGTTAGAATATTTTATATTAATTTATAGATAATATAAATTAACATAAATTGATATTATAAAATATTTATAATATTTTAAAAGATATAATAAGATATATATTTATAATATTCTAAAAAATATATAATTATAATATTCTAAGAGATATTATAAAATATTTATAATATTTTGAGATATTAAAAGATATTAATAATATCTTTTATTTTAATAATTAATGAGATATGTTTTGAGATTTGTTTTAGATCAGTTGGATTTTAACAATTATAAATATGTATCTCTTTTATTATAGTATGTGTAATTATTATATTGAGAGGAGAGATCGAGAAACACTTGGGTAGAAAATAGAGTTTGTTCTTTGAAACTTTACAAACTATTTTTTTTTTATCTCATTTGTAATCTCTTTTAAAAATTTTTGGAGTATAGTAAATTGAAGAGTTGTTCTCAATCCCAGACGTAGATCATTTGATCGAATGGAATAAAGAAACTTTATGTGTTTGTCACCTTCTTTTATCTTCTATTGTCAAGTCAAGTCACTGTGTTATTGATTATTATTGTTGAAGACCATTTATTTTAATTATCATTATTCTTTATTTTCACACATCAAATTCTTTTCACAACAGAAGCTGTAGAACTGTTAAAAGATATATATAAAACTTCAAAGAAGAAGAACAAAAAGCTGCATAAAAAATTGAATTCAGAGGCTTATGGTTAACATCTAGTTAAGTGTAATTGTTGAAAAAGAACTATGTTAGTGTAATATGTAATGTTGTTGATTAGTTGTAGTGTAATATAACCATCTAAATATAATGACTGATTTTTTAATAGAATGTTGGTGTTTGTGACATATTAATCATATAATATTAACTGAATTTGGCCTTAATGTGATTTAATTTTTAAAGTAATTCTATTAAAACGATTTTTGATTTTGACATAATTTTGCCTAAATTTAACTGGTTTAATTTTAAAAATGCATTTTTTTTTTTGGTTTAGCATAGAAACATATGTCATAACTTCTTCTATGACATAAATCTCATCTTCTAGAAGTTAGATCTCAAAAGATTTGCTTCACATTGTACTTTCTTAATGTTTTTTTCTTCTAAAATTGGGTCTGTCACACTTGTTCAACTCCAACTTTGATATATTAATGCAAGTGATTACAGCCACAAAATTTCTCTTTGGATTATGTCTTTTTTCTTGAAAGTATCAAAGTGTCTCACGGCTCCAAGTTTTGAATTATTCCAACCCATCTCACTCCTTTATTGTTTGGCTTTTAGTTTTGTGGTTACTAATATTGGATTATTTTATTGACTTAGACTCAACTACTATACACTGTCGACATACAATTCTAAGGCCTCCCACATTGACTTTATTGTCTTCCAATTTCTTGGAAATTACAAGGAACTTGTCTCAAACTATCACTAAGTTAACTTCAAAGTCAAAGTCAACCTTCCTCATTCTCCTTCATAAATTGATAGTGGTAATGTTGAACTTTGATGTTAGATTTCTATTATTGAACCAAATGGGTTATTGAAAAAGAGAAAAGAAAAAAAAAACCTTTTTTTGACAAAAAAAAGCAACCATTTTGCAAGATGGCAAAATCAATAGTAGACTTCACAGTACAAAAAATCAGTGATTTACTCATTGAAGAAGCAGTGTTCTTATATGGAGTAAGAGACAAAGTTCATCAGCTAAGAACTGAGTTGAGAATGATGGAATCTTACTTACAAGATGCAGACAGAAGACAAGAAGATGATGAAACTCTCAAGAACTGGATTTCAGAAATAAGAGAAGTTGCTTATGATTCTGATGATGTCATTGAAGCATATGCACTAAAAGGAGCTTCAAGAAGAAACAACATGACAGGTACTTTTAACAGAATCAAAAGTTTCGTTTCAATGGTCAACAGGTTGGTAGAGATTCATGTAGTAGGTTCACAAGTTGATGGTATCATTTCTAGGATAACTAGTCTCACAGGAAGCTTAGAAACTTTTGGCATAAGAAGAGATAGAGGAGAAGCTTCAAGTTCAATACATGGGAGACAAAAGGCTCTGAGAAGATCTTACTCTCATGTTATTGAAGAGGATATAATTGGTGTGGATTATGATGTTAAGATTTTGGAGTCATGTTTGGTTAAAAACAACAATAAGGGATACAAAGTTGTTGCTATTTGGGGTATGGGAGGTTTAGGGAAAACAACATTGGCTAAGAAGGTTTATCATAGTAGTAAAGTTAGGCAAAGTTTTGAGAGTTTTGCTTGGGCTTATATATCACAACATTGTCAAGCAAGGGATGTTTGGGAAGGGATTTTGTTGAAGCTTTTATCACCTTCAAAAGAGTTAAGAGAGGAACTTAGGGATATGAGAGACGAGGAGGTTGCGAAAAAGCTTTATCAAGTTCAAGAGGAGAAGAAGTGTTTGGTGGTTCTTGATGATATTTGGAGTGTTGATAGTTGGAATAATTTGAGTTTTGGTTTTCCAACTGGGAGATTTTTGTCTGTTGGTAGTACAATATTGCTTACTACTAGGAATACTGATGTTCCTTTGCATATGGATCCTAGTTGTTATCTTCATAAACCAAAGTGTTTGGATGAAGATCATACTTGGGAGTTGTTTCAGAAAAAGGCTTTTCCTAAATATGATGATCCAGGTATGTAGATTTAGTTGCTCTACTTCAATAATGCACTCTAATATCTATCATACACAGAAACCAAAAATACGACACTTATGGTCTATCTGTTTTAATTTTTTTTAAGATGATTTTTATAATGTTACATAATTTTGTATAAAATAAATTTATAAAGAAACTTTTTATAAAAGTTTTAATTGAAAGTTTGATTTGAATAATTGTTCTTAAAATGTTATTTTAGATATTTCATCTTTTTATTGAATTATTTTTTAGATATCAAAATTTCAAAAAATCAGTTAATTTTGAAGCTATTTCAAATAGATTTTCATAAAAATCATTTTTGAAATACAATTTTTTGAAAAACTTATAATTTTGATTATGTATTAGTCTTCAATAATGTATATTTATGTTATAGGATGTCAAAATTAGTGTTTCAATTTAGAAAAAACGAATATAGATTTTTTTTTAATATTTTAAAAAACGGTTTTGAAAAATCTATTTTCAAAAATATAAAAAAAAAATCTATTTTTTTAAAGTTGAAACAAACATGTCCTTAGCACGGTTTAAATAATCCGTTGAATCAAACTGAATTGTCGAACTGAATCGAGTTGAAGTTAAAATAATTGAATCGTTATGTTTGATTAGTGAACCAAATCATATAGCACAAACAATTTTAAAATCAGACCAAATGACAAATGAACCGAACCAAAACTGAAAATGAAAAATACTAAAAACATAAACATGTTTAAAACTCTTTTTATTAAAATTCGAAAAAAAATGTAACGGTTTAGGAAAAACTATTTTCTAACGGTTTGGTACAATCGGAATTTCGAACCGGCATACGAAACAATAATTTTGGTTCGGTTCAGCTCGGTTATAATAAATTGAAATTGTTCGGTTTGAATCGGGTGACCTTTTCTTATGGTTCAGTTTGATTTTTTAACAGAACTGTACTATGAATAATCCTAATGACAGTGACACTTACATGTTGACACCGGTAATAATTTATAAATTAAATGTAATCACAAGTGTCGGTATCGGTTTCCGACACAGACACACTTCTTTTAGAGGTGTCAATTCTAGATAGTTCAATATTGTTCACAATGTAGTTGTTTACCTTGTTGATGAACCTAGTTTTATTTCAATTTTTGTTACCAAATTATGCTTTCTTTTTTGCTTTGCACGCAGACTCTAGCATTACCATAGAGATGGAGAAATTGGGAAGAGAAATGGTTGGAAGATGTGGAGGTTTACCTCTAGCCATAATTGTCCTTGGAGGACTATTAGCATCAAAGCCATCATTTTATGAATGGGACACAGTGAGACAAAACATCAACACATATCTTAGAAAAGCAAAAGGCAAAGAACAACTCTTAGGAGTATCTGAAGTACTAGCATTAAGCTATTATGAATTACCTTACCAATTGAAGCCATGTTTCCTACACTTAGCACATTTCCCTGAAAACTTAGAGATACAAACAAAGAAACTAATAAGAATATGGGTGGCAGAAGGTATCATATCATCGGTTCAAAACTCCGGAAACAACGAGGAAGCTCTCGAGGACACAGCGCAACGTTACTTCACAGAACTCGTCGAAAGGTGCATGATTCAGGTAGTTGAAAAGAGTTCGACCGGAAGAATTAGGACAGTTCAAATGCATAACCTGATGAGGGACTTATGTGTGTCTAAGGCATATGAAGAAAACTTTCTCGACATGATTGATTCGCGAAATGTAGATCAAACTAGTACTTCGAAGGCAAGACCGCCCGGTAAAGTTCGAAGGATCGCGCTATATCTTGATCAAGATATTGATAGATTCTTGCCTAGACACTTAAAAAGTCATCACCATCTTAGGTCTATACTATGCTACCATGAAAAAACAGCTAGGTTAAGCGAATGGAGTTCGATGAAATCGGTTTTCAAAAAATGCAGGTTACTTCGAGTTTTGAACTTGGAAGGAGTACAATGTCAAATGGGAAAATTACCTAAAGAAATTGGCTTCTTGATCCATTTAAGGTTTCTAAGTCTAAGAAACACGAAAATCGACGAGTTGCCAAGTTCAATAGGGAATTTAAAGTGCTTACAAACCTTAGATCTTCTCACAGGAAACTCAACTGTTCAAATACCAAATGTCATAGGAAACATGGAAAAGTTGAGGCATTTATTTCTACCTGAATCATGCGGCAACAACGTCGAAAAATGGTGCATATCTAATCTGAAAAACTTGCAAACACTAGTTAACTTCCCTGCTGAAAAATGTGATGTAAAAGATCTCATGAAACTAACATATTTAAGAAAATTGGTCATAGACGATCCGAATTTCGGAGAAGTCTTCGAAAGCACTAATGAAACATTCATTCACCTCGAGTCATTGTTTTATGTTAGTTCTGAGGAGATTTCAATGGTAGAAGTTTCTGCAGGGTGTCCTAATCTTTACAAGCTTCACATTGAAGGACCTATAAGCAATTTTCCATCACCAAACCAAATTTCATCAAAGCTTGCTAAGCTTAAGCTACAAGGTTCAGGACTAGTTGTTGATCCAATGACAACATTGGAGAAGCTACCGAATTTAAGGTTGCTTGAGTTGCAACTTGATTCGTTTTTGGGGAAGAGAATGGTTTGTGGTAGCAAAGGTTTTCCTCAGTTAAGGTCACTTGTTTTGAGTGATTTGCCTAATCTTGAAGAGTGGAAGATGGAGAAAGGTGCTATGTGTTGTCTTGGGAAGCTTGAGATTTCGAATTGTACTAAGCTTGAGGTTGTTCCTGATGGGATTAGGTTTGTTAGTAGTTTGAAGGATTTGGAGATTAGATCAATGTTTGCAGTGTTTAGAATGAAACTTGAGAAAGGAGGTGATGAACATTATAAAGTTCAGCATGTTCCATCTTTGGTGTTTCGTTATTGTGACTATTAGGATTGTTTGTATCTGAAATGTGTTGTAAATGATTTCATTTTTTTTTTGTCATGTAACAATGATGAGAGGTAGAGTTTTTGTGTTCAAGTAACAAAGATTTGAGCCAAAGAAGTGATGGTGTTGTTTTTGTTTTAACATTGATCGTGTTAGTTTTTTTAGTAGATCTAGGATGTATTTAGATTGCTATTGAGTGATGGTGCTAGAGGAGTTATGTTTGACTTGAATGCCTAGGTAGTATTGAATATCCCCTAGATTTTTTTAGTGGAAATTTTGTTTGAAGAGGGTTGATTAGGGAATTGATAGCTTGTAATGTGTTATATGTGATGATAACAACATCACTTTTTGTGGAGTGGAAGCCTCAATTTGTAAGAAATAAGTGAAGTTTGTAGAAACATGCCCTTGAGGCTTGTTTGATTGTTTGAGTTCATAGAGGACTTTATTATTAGAAATGGAGTTTTATTTTATTTTATAGAACTCTGAGAAAAATTTTAATGGGAATTTAGCCATTTTGATGGCAGAAGATATGGTTGTAGTTTCAACTCACCAACTAAATGGTTTTATCTGCTCCCACAATACAAATAGAGTGGTCAATGTTTTCAGAATTTTCGACCATTAACCAAATTAAATAGATATCTCTGATTCACAAATATGTAACTTTAAATGATGATGAAGTGAGAACTATAATTTTAATTGTTTGAAATTCGAAAGGCTTGATAATTACATGTTTTTCTAATTAGATAGGCTAATACTAAATTATGCGCATGAGAGGTGCTAGGAAGAAAGAATTTAACTATTTTCTAGTTTACCTTTTATGAGTTAATCTATATTGAATTATGGACTAATGTGTCGAGCAACCTATTTAGATCATTTTGCTGGTTTTAAGAGAAATTTTCCTGCCACCCCCAAATTTTATTTTGCATATCCTCTATGTTTTTATCATAATATCTTTTGTAATTTTTTATGTTTTTGAAATATTATGTGTTTTCAAGATTTTTGAAATTTTTTGAGTTTTTATCGAATTTTTAAAAATTTTCACAAGTTTTTACCAGATTTTTGGAGGATCTATGAGTTTTTACTGGATTAGTCTAAGCCACTTGCAGTCATTTCGACTAACTCATGTTCAGACACTTGAGTAAAACATCTTCATGCTGACTAATTCTTTCAGGCTAATTTTCATCTGATCCATATAAAATTGCTCATAGAACACTCTTTCTAGTTGATTCCAATTATGTAGAGAATTTGGAGGGAGGTGGTGAACCATGTGAAACGCTCTTAGTTAAAGAATTAGGGAAATGTTTCATCTTTAAGTTTTAATTATTGGTCAAATCACTTGCCTTTATTGATATCGAGCAATGTGCTCGATGGTGGATTCACTAGTATTGCTTGCGAACTTAGTGAACTTAGGAATTTTCCAATCCTTTGTGAGTTTAGTCTTCAATACACACTCAGACAAGGTAGAAACAAAATTTGGCCTATGAAGACCAATATTAAAACCATTTTGGGCTAGGATTTTTCAACTACATTGGCTATGTTATTTTGTCCCCCAAAAATATTGAAATCTCCTAACCACTTGATCTACATCCATGTTCCTATTGACCAATACTACATATGATCCATTTCAACCTAAGTCTCCTTCGACTACTCTGGGTATAGGTTGTTCGACCGGTTGAGGCATAACCCGTTGTTGCACTTGATTATTAGGAAACCCTTCATTGTTTGCAACTCCAGGATTTTTAATTGCCGCAACTGGTTGGATTTGAGTACTTGGCTGAATAGAGGTTTGAGAAGCACTAAATAAATCAACAGTTAGACTCATTTGATGTGCCAATTGTTAGTAAATATGGTTTGTATTTTGGATGGGGGGATTAAACACAACACCAATTTGTTGGGTCAAATTATTAACCATATTATGGTTACTATCATCCATTTGTTGCTTTAAAGTCAAGAGAGAACTAGTAGTTAAAGGTGGCATAACCTGAGGGATATATCCTAATCCTCCACGAAGTTGTGCCATTCAACTAGAATTGCTTATAAAGGATCCTGATGCTAAATATTGATTAACAAGAGATGCAATAGTCATTGCATTATTTGCATACAAAGATGCATTAGTTTGTAGACTTTCCATCATTTTAGTTGACATGCCATATGAATATTCCTTACTACCAGGAGAAGCATAAAGCTTGGGAGAAATGGAGGTGTATGGTCTCCTACAGTGGTTTGTGTAACTCTGGGGGTAGCTGAAAAACTAATTGGTTGTGGTGGGGGAACCACCACCTCTGGCAACATAGTCAAAATTGACGTTTGACTCACAACATGAGTAGTTATTCCAACGGTTTTTGAAGTGCCTGCATCACCAAACATCGTTTCAATTGGTTGATCTTCTTCATTTCGAGCATCGTTCTGGGGAAGGGAAGGATTTTTTTATATTTGACAGCCCATCTTAAGACTTTTACCACTCCTCAGACGCATAAACACCCAGACATTGGAAACATTGCATGTATGAAGAACATAAAACAAAAATTACAAGCACATACACTTTTCTGCAAAAAAAAAAATTCACAAAAGGGGTTTCACCGGGTATGCCAATTTGTTTACTGGTATTTTTAGTAAACAATCACAAGTTTTAGTTCACTTGTATGATCAAACTTGGAAACCCTTTGACTACTTTGTGTAAAATGTTTTGAGAAGATGTGATGGTGCTAAGATATTTTCAATGTAAATAGTCAAGAAAGTGAATGCAGAAGAATTGAAATGGGAAAAGTAAACAAAGAAAAAGTAGTAAACCAATTGGATAAAATTGTTTAAATTAAAAGTGAGACGCGAGTTCATACATTATAAAAATGTGAACCTCTGTCACGTGTACGAAATCTACTTATGTGCTATGTACATCAATAACTGTCGATAACAGTTACTTCTCCAGACATCAACACGTGTCTTGCTACGCGGGCTTCTGCTTTATATTGTGTTTCCACATATTTTTTATTCTTGAAATGCCTCAAACTTCTATCTCTGTTGAAAAACTACCTTTAAATCATCTAATTTCCTCTGTCGAAAACTCCACCTGTCGAATGTGTAACATAATGTTGAAAACATGACTTACCTGTTTGCACTTAGCACTCATATCTATCTTATATATCCATATAACTTATTGAATATACTGAGTCAAAAATCATAGGCTAATAGTGTTAGACAATGACAACTTATCTAGAGGGATGTGAATAGATCCCCAAAGAAAATTTTCACTTAAAAACTTGTTTTAAAACTTTAAGATAAAACTATGGCAAGCGGAAGTCGTATCCTAGATCACAAGTCATCCAAACCGAATCAGTTATTGGAGGCTCGAATATGCGTACAATCAATACTCAATTGAATAATGATAATAAGATCTTATTACAATAAAATCTCAAGTAATTGTTTTAAAATTACAATAGTAACCAATATCCAATGAAACAATTGATAAAACTAAGTGAAACAATTTATCGAACACTTGTAGTACACTTAATTTTTTAGATTTTCCTTTGAACTTTGTTGATATCAAATACCTCTTACAATCTAATAGATTGTAAGACAATCAACAAAATAGTTTAACACTTTAAAGGATTTGTCTATACGAATTAATTTCATAATCAAAGAGTTTAACAAATTTGCTAATAAAATGAATGAGATATAAAGAGACATGGAAAGAGAGAGGGAGAGAGAGCAACACAATGATTTCTCTTCTCTTGATCTGAGTTTGATCAAGTCACCCAACAATACCAATTTAATCCACCATCTCACGCTACTCCTTTGCAAGAAACCATCATTCTTCAAAGCTCTTCACTTGGCCGAATCCAAATTGTGAAATTGTTGTCACCCAAGATTTCCAAACGATTCACCGCCTCGTGCTACTCCTTTGTAACAACCTCCTGTTCTTCAAAGCCTTTCACTTGGTCGAATCCAATATTTATGAAGCCTTGTAAAAACCTCAAATTCACACTTTGATCTTGAGGTAAAAACTCTCACCATTTTTCCGATGAAACCCCCTATGATTCTCAACCTAACCTTAGGTCAACCAACCTAAATTGAACGTTATCAACACAAGTCTAGATGGCACCCAAAAAATGAATGATTATGTATACATTGTTTGTGTATATGCATATATGAAAGGTTGAAGATGATGAGCAATATTAGTATGTGTTTATAGTTTCATCAAGTTGAAAATGATGCACGTATGAAGTATATATAGGTTTGCAAGTTGAAGGAAAAAGGGAAACCTAGAAGTTTGAAAAAGAAAACAATTTTTTGTGAAATTCTGACACATGTGCCGACACATGTAATGCATTGTGTCAACCTGCATGAGGTTATTATGTCGACACGAAATTCCAGAAACTTTCAGGCATTAAAACAAAAGTACATGTGTCGACGCATATAATGGATGTGTCGACACATACAACTGACTTTTATGCAAAAATTGATTTTTAATGACATGTGTCGACCTATATAAGGTCATTGTGTCGACACATGGTTACAGAGCCTACATGATTTATTATTGATCCATATGTGTCGATGCATAGTACGAATGTGTTGACACATGCAACTGATTTTTATGAAAAAATTTGATTTTTAATGCATGATATATATTGACAACCTTTTTAAACATGTTCTAGATGCATTCTAAGACCCCTAATGCAAGGGTGCACACAATAATTTAGAGATCTTGTTCAATATACAAAAAAAAACTAAATTTATCCTAGTTTTGACATCATGTAAAATATCTATCTAAGAAGCAAATGCATTCACAAATAGTGTCTCACTAATACATTCTCTATATCCCCATTTTTGTTACTATTAGTATTATATGTTTTACTCCAAAAACCAATACAAATAATCTTGCCTATGGAAATTATAAATTATACTATTTGGCGCCTTTGTGGTTCACTTGCCAAAAGGCCATCAAACTCCTTCTTCTTATTCCTACTTCAATAATTTGTAACTTTATACTATTAAATCCCCAAATAAAA